TTACTTGTTAGACGCTTTTATCTAAAGCGACTACATACTCAATATTGATTTTGACAGGGTTGTTGCACAAAAGATCCAAGCGCGCACAGAAGAAATCTGAGAGCAGACATTTCACGAGCGAGCGCACAGAAACAGCCTGAATGCGAGGAGAAGGTTTTAAGCTGGAACACAGGAAATCTGTAAGCAGAAATATATCTGAGTGCAAGCGTACAGTTTGAGCAGAAGCGGAGCAAATCTAAGCCCAAGCAGGCACTATTTGAGTGTGAGGACAGGGTTTGAGGGAAATAAATAGATATTCTGAACGTGAAATCAATAAAGTATGCTCTCAAATTTAAAGACCACGCTCTTGAATAAAGATAGGGAATAACCCCCATATGTATTCCTATGTGCATCACTCTGCAGCAGTCACGTCCGTGCGGCTGATACTTTCTCTCGCTTTCCTTCTCATACTGCCTGTCACTTTCCCTCTAATCTTCCTGTGGTTATTGTTTTGAAACACTGTTTTTCTCCCGGCCGTTTTAAAAACATTTCAGGCTAGTAAAAGTTGAAACACCGCTCTGTGCCGCTGCAGAATGTAGTGGACTCGCGGGAGCGAGTAGAGGACGCGTGAGAGCGCGCAGCTGGCGGTCCGCTCCGGGGCTCAGTCTGCATTTCATCCAACTTTGCATTAACGAAACAATTTCACAACAGACCCTGACAAACTCACAAAAACACAAAACAAATGATTAAAATGAGTGACTTACTTTTCCGCCGTCAAAACACTGCTTCTTGAAAGTCTCTTCTTTGCAGATGAAAAAATCCTTCGATTTGTCCCGATGCAGAGGATGTTTTGTTTGGAGATGCAGGTCCAATTTATTCATTTTCAAGCTTTCATTACTGAGCACCTCTCCACATAAAACACACTGAGGCCGCTCCTCTCCATTTCTAACAGCTTTTCTGAAGCCAACGTTTAAAAACTCCTCTTTGTATCGTCTTTTTGCCATCATGTACGATCGGGATTAATCAACAGACAATAAACAGACAGCGCGAAAACTTTCGCGGGGGACGCGTCAGAGCTGATACAAATACAATCTTTTATTTTTAGTTTATTTTTATTTAGAAAATTAAATCATTCAATATACAATGCTATATTGCATAATTTCATTTTCAAAATAAAAAATAAAATACAAAAATTATAAAACAATTGTATTTGCAACGCAGCCATCAGCTCTGACGCTGTGTGTGTGTAGCAATGCATTTAACTGGCGACCCAATTAAAACGGGTCCGCGACCCATTTTGGGTCGCGACCCTGAGTTTGGGAAAGGCTGAACTAGAGACATGAAAGACACAATGAGACTATCGCCCTCTCACTATTTCAGCCTCTCTGATAAATATGCTGCTGAATGTTTGGACGTATTCATTTGTGTTTCTTTAGGCCTGCCAGTCTCCTGGAAGGACCCCCGCAACATGGACTCAGCGGTCCCCATCGTGACGGAGAGCTGTGGCGTTTACGGCACTTTCTACGTGGACCTGATGGGAAATGGTCTGAAGACCTTTAACAGTCCTGGGAGCCGCCCTAAGGCTCCTCACGGTGTCCCCCTTCAGCAGGGGGAGACCATCCAGATCTTCTCTCAGCCCCTCGCAAAGAGCGCGTCCCTGGGGAGCCGCGAGGCGTTGTCATGGAAACAGGCTATACGCCCCCAGCCCAGGATGGGGGTGCTGAGGGAAAAAACCCACAGCAAGCAAGGTGCATAGTTGAGATTGTGATGTTAACACCACAACTATATTTGTTCTTCCTTTCATTGTCCCTCTTTGTGTGTCTCTGCACACGTTGTCTTCTGAGTGTTGTGAATGATGTCAATGCAGAAAGTAAGACAGCTTTGTTTCAAATGTTTGACATTGTATCAAGCAGGGCTGCACTATTGAAACCACCATATTACACTATCCAATATTTAAAGGGGAACTGTTTGGAGGTTTCCCTCTCCTGTAGTGTGTTCTTAGGTGTTCATTCATGTGAATGGTCTGCAAAGGCTAAAATCCCTGTGTCCAGAGGGAGTTTTCTCAGGGAACTTAGTGACATCACTATGTTACACTCACGCTTCTATTGGCTAGCGCTCCGACACATTGTACGTGATAAAAAAAGAAGAAGCTGAAATGCGTCTGTGATTTCCTTGTTGACCCCAGAGCTGCATGCAGTGAACAGCGCCCCTCTCACGCCCAGCAGGAGCCAGGCCTGCTCCTCCAGTGTGTTCAGACAGAGGCTCAGTCACATCCCAGCAGCCCGGCACGGTACCACACAACACAGTTTATAGCACTCCTTACTCCAGCATCTTTGTGAATTTGTGATCTTGATTTTGTATTTATAATTAAGTTAGAACGTGTACTTTAACACAATTTGATTTTAGTAGTTGAATTATTGGCGACTGGTTATAAGTAGGCATATGTTGTTTTTGTCTAGGGGGGCATCCAGAGTGGGATAAAGCTGCTGGCTGTCCTCGACTGCTGCATTACTCTGCATCCTTACACCTGATGGACATGCTGCCCCCCCCACCACCAATGCCACTAGAGGACACCATGGACTCACACAGCCTCAGCTCAGATGAAGGGTAAGAGACTCACACAGCACAGACGGAGGGGCGGGGGGGAAGAGACATTTCTGATGCATCTCTAATCCTCTAGCAGCCACAGGGGTCATCATGCTGGTCCCAAAGAGCAGGAGTGTGATAGACGGATACAGTCATCAGGGAAATCTGATTGGTCATTGTTGCATTCCAAAACAGTAAAGTTATAAAGAAAGAGCTGTCTGCCATGTTTAAAACAAGTCTGGGGTTTCCATGCCTTATTGGTCAGAGATGACCTCAACGTCCTTCCTTATGTATGTTTGTTTCCTTTTAGTGGCCCAAGAATTGACCTCACTTTAGTGGGAACACACAATATGGACAAAAAGCAAGTAAGAAAAGAGACTGGAGGTAGATGACCGAGAGCCTAATGTTTATTGGAGCTAACGGAGGAAATGAGAAATGCCAAGCATAGGATGTCAGGAAGTCTAAATATACAAGAATAGTTGAGGAACAATCAGTTCCGTAGGTTTGTGTGCGTGTAAATGGCCTGCAATGGTCTGGTCTCTTTACTTACGTAACATAGTGACATCACTATGTAACAATTGAACTGCTTTTGGCTCTAACACATTGTCTATGATATTCTAAGGGGGCGAGACATCTCTAAGTGGTTGACCAATCACAACAGAGCTGGACAGGGTGAAAAGAGGTGCTGCAGCACAGGCAGTATGAGAAAGAGAAAGAGCTTTCTGAACATGAAAGCATGGAGACGTGTCCCCGTAGAGACGTTAATCGGCCCAACATCATGAGTCCAAAACGCACAGAGCAGATGGAACAAACGCTTTGTGCTGTTTGACTGTTTCCTATTATATGTGTATTTCTTGTTGAACAGGGCAAGTGATTCCTGTTTCTACACAGTTCAGTGTGTTATTTATGTTCTTCCCAGAAATCTTTCCTTACTGACTGAGAGGCTGAGTCAGGACACTCAGCCTCTCAGTCAGTAAGGAAAGATTACTGGGAGCTGCTTCAAGTTTAATTTTATTTTTAGCTTTTAAGGAAAGTATTTCGATTTTTGAATTGCAGTTAACTCGTGTGTGTATGATCTCCAGCTCCAGTCATTCTACGAAGCTATCAGTGGACTTGGGCTCTCTCCAGTCAGTGTGTGATGCGTCCTGCCGCTGTGGGCAGCCCCCCCCCACCAACAACAGCTGCCCCTCCTACAGCCACCTGTCTACTGCATCATACTCCAGGTCAATGGATGAGGAGCAGAGGGGCACACTGACAGCAGAGGAGGCTACACAGTATCTGGAGCTCAGCCCCAAACCTGAGAGGAGCAGGTAGATAACAGCTCGCTGACCCCAGCACATGATAATACAAATCATATGATTCAGGCGAGGAACGTTTATTAATATAGCACCTTTCAACATAAGGCCATCCAAAGTGCTTTACAAATATGAAAACATTAAGAGCAGAAATTGTACTGCGGAATCATTTAAAAACAGTCATTAAAAAGCAAAAACAACAACATTTAATACTGTGCACTACATGTACATGTTCATGCCCCCCCCCCCCCCCCCTGTGTCAACAGTGCTCTACCTCAGCAGTGTCCCTCTCTGTCGAACCCCTTCTCCCCCACCCTGGGCTACATCTATGAGCGTGTCCACTCCCCTCAGATGGAGGAGGACCCCCCCACCCATGAGCCTGAGGTCCCAACGATGGGCCTGCGCCGCGCCCGCCTGCAGAGCCCCCCGCCCCCCTCCTCCTGCTGCAGCGAGGGGGACGGCTCCCTGTGGAACACCTGGAGCTCGGTGACGGGCAGCAGCCTGGCCAGCGCCCGCAGCAGCTTCATCAGCTCCGTGGACAGCTGCTGCACCGAGGACAGCGCCACCTTCAGACGCCTGCTGGCCGCTGCAGCCGGGAGCATGGGCGGAACCTCGCTGTCAGGTGAGCCCTGACGGGGGGGAAAACACTCTGAACACTGACCGATCACACACACACACACACACACACACACACACACACACACACACACACACACACACACACACACACACCGCGGTTCCTCAACAAGCTCTACTCAGCCAGGAGAACCAGATGTGATTGTTTCCATTTTGACAGCAGAGCACTCAGTGTGGCTCATTGTTTTTGATCAGAATCGAGTTATTGCCAAGATGGTTTACACATACAAGGAATTAGCTTTGGTGTATGGTGGTGCAAACATAAACAACATAAGGGAATATGTTGTAAGAGACGGTAAAAAAATATAACAATTATAAAAAGAAAATATTTGTAAAAAACGATTTAGCATTAAAAAAGTAAAAGACAAGTATTTAGACCAACTTTAAATATAAAAAGTATTACAATGAATATATGACAAACTACAGTGTGTTTTATTTGAAAGTGGAGGGTTGTGCAAAAACATATTCAGAGAGATGAACATGGATTACAGTAAAATAAAACGAAAAAAGGAAAGGCACAAGAGCCTGTAGTGGAATGTACATCTCTCCACTAGATGGAGCCCTCTGTCAGTCTGACTGCTTGGAGCTGCAGGCCAAACAGTGGCAGCCAGTACACCTGTCAAACTGAACCATGGAACTCAAGACATGTGTTTGTTTTAAGAGTATTTTGAAGTTCAACATTAAAAATGAAAAACATATTTTGGATGTTAATAGGAGAGTGTACATGTCACTGTTTGTCAGTGTGTGTGCATGTGTCTGTTGCTGTCAGAAACAAAGACATTAAGTCTAATATCTGAGATGTCACCAGGCAATTACTTAGCTGGTTTCATGAAATCACATCTCAGGATGAGTCAACTCGCCCCCCCATGACACCTCATCAGTCACTCTGCTCTCCATCTGCAGGCAGCCTCACTCTCTTGTGGCTGTTTCCATAGATTCAGATAAGAAGAAACTACACTAGCTTCTTCACCTGCTAATGACCACTAGCTTCCCCAGAGCTGTGGTCATTGTTCATCTTCAGAATGTGTAGAACATAAGCATCCATCCATGTGACTACATGTTTAGTGTCACATGGAGACTTAAAAGGCCTTCATTTTTCCCCTCAGGATCTTTCTGGTAGTATTCTTATTGAATACAGGTTACTTTTTTAGGAATAGAATATATTCAGCTTCACATCTACCATTTAAGTATCCACTCTAGTTAAATGATACTTATGTAAAGACCCCGTTTCAAGGATAAGCAGAGTGTGGACTAATCATGTGAAAAGAGGGGAGCAGCAGGAGCAGGCCTTTTTCAGATTAGAACACTCACATAAAACACTTCAGCTTAGAATAACTGTTATTATTCCCAGACAGCTACCTTTTCTAAGGTCTTTGAAGTATCAGAATGCCTTCAGAATGCAGAATATGGCTGTTGTGAAAGGCAATGGTGGCTTTGTTGCCTTAAACATTTTAGAGTAGCTTTATTTTCAGTGACTGACAGCTGGTTCAAAGAAGCTATTTTGTCCTCAGAGAATCAGCGTGACACAAGGTGCTGCTCTGAGTCGAGGGGCTTTCTGTATTAATATAACCCCTCCACTCCATATTGAAATGTTTGTCAACATGTGCTCCTCTCCTGTGTTCAGACTTCTCCCCACCGGCCTCTCCCCTCAGCGCCGTGTACCCGTCGTTCTGTGAGGGCGACTCGGCGGAGCTGGAGCCGGTCCCTGCGTGGGAGTGGAACCTGGCCTGGGTGGAGGAGATGGAGGCTCAGTACAGAGCTCACTATCCTGCCAGGAGCTCCAAACCCTTTGACAGTTAGGCATCAGAGGAAAAGATGCAACATGACTGCATTTTGAGAACTTCACAAGCACCTCACAGCGATGCCAGAACAGCAAGACAAGAAGAAATGACGGATGATCTTCATTTATTTATCTGAGAGGGCTGGAATTGAAAGGTTGAAATACTACAGGGTTTGATAGCGTTCTCCCTGTCAATAATAGTTACATGTCTGGATTTCAAATATAATTGGAGCAAACTCCTTGATGTTTGAGATACTTCTGTTTGTCTGTAATAGTTTTACCTCAGGGCAGTCCGACTACTGTTTGCATCCTCCAAATGACTTCCATTGAGGCTCTAAAGTTTTCTTTCCGCTCATTAGAGGGTAATGAGACACTTCCCCTGGGCTCTTCTCACCCAGTGTGTTTGAAAAGGCCAGAGACACAGAGACAGGATGGAGACGGAGAACCCAGTCATTAGCAGCGCTGCACACTTCCTCACACACATGTTTGTTTCTTATTTTCCTCCAAGATTTCATTTGGGCTGGAGTCCTACCAAATGATCACTTCTGTATATTCAGCATACTCAACACATGTTATACAAAGAACTTAATCACATTCCAAATCCCGTTGTCTCTTACGGTTTATTACATTCTGGGAATTATTTTATATTTGAAGATTGTTTTTTACTTTATACGCTCTGTCCTTTTTCTATTTTACAAAAAGTTTGTATAATACAAAACATTATGTAGTTCAGGATAGCAGAAGTAGCAAAAGTTATTTGTAAAAATAGTTCAAAATGAATTGAACTAAGTGGAGGTGTAACTTTAAATCTTACTTTAGGAAGCATTCCACAGTATGCTCGATGATTTATTTTGTTCTCGTAACAAATGTGTTTTATTATTTAGAAAAACATGTTAGAATTGATTGATATCAGGTTTTATATGTTACATGTAATGTTTCAGTGAGCTGAAACCTGTGACATTGATACTGTCTCTTATGTTATTATTTTTATTGTTATTAAAAACACCCACGTATACACATCAAATGCTAGTGGGACATTTGATCTAGAAACTCCTCCATACAGGAAGTGTTCACAGTTTCTCACAGGGACACGTTGACATTTCAGTGCTTCACTGGTTCAACATATGAGGGGGGGGGGGGGGGTTCCGACATTGAACCCCCTGCTGTTTCTAATGGCTGTGTAACAGGAAGGTGATGTTTATAACTCATCTGTTTGGCTTGAGTAACCAACACCAACAATGCTGCTGCAGCTGATCATTACAAACCCGTTGAAGAGAATAATTAACACTAAATGTCTGTGTTTGTTCAGGAAAGTGTGGTTTTTTACTTTGAAATGTTAAAAATGATGTTTTTCCTTAAAAAAAAACCTGGGATTTAATGTAGCCTAGTTTAGTCTGTTTAAAGTAGATTATTTGCACACGTCAGTCAAACCTCACAGGAGTTGGATGAGTATTAGGGAGGAAGAGCTTTGCAGACTGATACATATTTTAATATGTATGTAAGATAATATGATTTACTCAATCACTTTGTGTGCAGCTGCAAAGCACGACATGCATTTTGAAGTAATCCCTGGCCTGTATCTGGGCTGGGGGTCAAATGAGACTGTTGAGCTAAGAAGTGCTTTGCTGTCTGTTTCAGTTATAAGCTGCTCAGGAACAGCCATATTAGTTATATTCCAGGTATTAAAAACAGCCCAAGTTAACAAACACATAGGAACGAGTCTCAGGGTTAATTTGTTATTTCCTTCTCAGAAGAGGGACAGGCTTTTTCTGCTTCAAAAATATGCAATAATTAAGATTTCTTTCATGTCTTTACTCTCTGAGAATTTCATTTAGAAGATTAATCAGACTGCTTCTCTAGCAGTTATTTTCAGATGAAGTCAAGCAGACCTGCAAAAAGTAGTCAAAGCAGGCTAAAATGATGAATAATGAAAACAGTGCAGGCTTTGTTAAGCACAGGAATCAAGCTTTAAACTCTGCTCATTTATCTGAAGGAGCCATATTTACCCTATATGCAATGCAGCAAATAGTGGATTACATGTTTGTGTGTGTGTGTTTGTGTGTACTGGACCGCCATAGAGATTATCCTTCATCTGTCTCCTTCACTAAAGGCCATATGTTTCTACATGAAGCCCCCGGCTCCTCTGAACACGCACGCACGCACACACACACACACACACACACACACACACACACACACACACACACACTGATAGACGTGAACACACTCTATGAGGCTCACACAGTAATGAATCAGGCACTCCTGTACTGTCTGCTTGTCTTATTAGGTTATACACACATACCACACACAGGACCACACACACCCTTGGGGTTTGTGCATCACAGATTTTTTGGTGATATGCCAAAATACCAGCTGTATATAGTACCTATGTCAGCTAACCAATGACCCATATTAGACATGGCCTGAAACCAATGCAAACACACACACTAACACACACACTCAGCACACACATGTCATTGGATGTCTTCCCTAAAGTCTGTTCTTTTATAAAATGAATAGATACCTTCTAAGACCAGATATGAATGTGCAGCATTGTGTGAGCACAATTAGCAGGATTTCTAGCTAAATTAGTCTTAAATCATGCATGATCCTCAAAATTGACCCTTTATATAACGTTAATGTGAAAGTTGTTAGTGGTAAATCTTTCAGCAGTTTGCCAAGATGAAGTTTGTTTTCAACCTGCAATAGGGTTCTACAGGGAAGCAAATAGAATATAAGAGCACAAACAGAAACCACATGAGGAGAAAATAGATACAAAGTATAATCCAACATGCAGCACCCCCCAGGGATTACGGCAAACAGTCAATGTCTGTGTTTTAAAATGTTCGCTTAGCGAGCTAACTTCAGGGAAAACTCTGGGTTTCCGGTCCTACGACGCTGGTTCTCTTCTGACCGGGCTAGATCTCCATGGTAATTTATGCTGAACGGCTCACCTCCGGAGCAGGTTAGGTTGCAGGAGAGAGAGATCAACTCAGTGAAAGCACCGCCTGCTGACTAATCAGAGCTCAGTGTGCGGAGTTTAAAGCTATGAAGTCATATTACAGGAGAAAGGAAATACAGAAAAACTGCCGTTGCAGGAAAGACGGCCGGCAAAAATCACCGACTGTGTGAACGTGAACACATTAATAGAATATCACCTCCCATCTTCAGAGCAATCTGACTATTATAACATTAGCCTTAAGAAAGCTTACTTAAATATCTGCCACAACATAAGTAACCGGATCAAAGTAACATTGCCTACAGTCCGCGACACTAGTGCAGACGTCGATGTGTCCCATTATCATTCATATCACATCATATCACATCACAATACATTATGAT